CCGCAGGAAAAACGAGACATCTTTAAAAAGACGCTCGGCTCTTTTAGAAATAGAGAAAGGATACAATCGTCGGATGGCCTAGCTTGCTGGGCGGCTGAAGGTGGCGAAGACGGCCGGCTTCTTCAGGGTCCTTGAGCTCGCTAGAGGATGCCTTCTTCGACGGCGATGGCTTTTCTCAGGAACAGCAGAAGCGTGCAGCTTGCTGAAGATGAAATGAATCAACATATAAGCCTGGGAGAGCGCCTTATATACACCATGGCCACGCCCATTCTGGCGGGTCATGACGCAATGAGCGCGCGGGCGCCTCTCATTGGAAGCGGGTTCAGCCCCGCTCTCCCATAGGCTTAAGCAGTTCTCTCTGAGCGAACCAATGAGCTGCTAGCTAGCCCGCTCTAGGTCTGCCGCAGAGGAACTGCGTTGTGTATGGATACAAAATTATGAAATAATTTTTTGGCTTCAATATCTCAGCAAAGATGAATCTTTCCCGCAGCGTAAGCTAGCTTACGCAATACGAGAGAACCTCTCGTAAGAGAACTGCATTTATATCCGATTGGTGGTTTGAATCATGCGTTACAAACTACGAAAACGGAATCAAGTATAATGCGAGAAACAAACACAACAGTCCGCCTGTTTAACTGACTTATGCATCAAGTTTAACTTTCAGTAAAGCAATTGCATGCTCAATAAAAGTGTCAACAATCTTTGACTCAGCAGCTGGCGGTAAATATACCATTTAGCGATTGAACATTTAGTCCTTCTCCAAAAGGTATTCTAAATTTGGATTCTGATTGAGACAGCTTGACACCTTTGACAGCAGTGATGACTTTGCTCCACATAGTTCATAAAATGAAAGAAATTCATATGTGAGTGTCAGAGGTGAATGTGTGAGGTGAGATCTGGCATTGCCTCTGAACTGCACAATGGTGTGTGTGTGTCTGACAGACATATTAATTAAATTTAAGTGCAATTATCACCTGAGAGCATAAAGCGTAATGAACACAGCATTATACGTTCACATTTGACAGAAACAAACTGAAAATCTGAGAATCAGGTGTCAAAGGTGAGGGTTAGTTGAGGTTGAGCAAAAAGCTGCTCATAAAGATATTTTTAAAAAGTCTGAAGCATTTCTTTAAAGCTCCAGTCCGTAACTTTTTTAAGTTAAAAATAATCCAAAATAATTATATTAAAAAAAAGCTTATTCTGCCAGTGGTCAAAACTATCTGCTTGCCATAGCTAGATTCAAAACGGTTAGCTTGTAATAATGATTTTAATTCCAGTGGTACTGGTGGGTTTCCGCGGGAAATTCGAGCATGTCTTTGCGTCATTACGTCACACCCGTACACATAAAGAAGGAGTTTCGGCTAGCCGGCTATACTGCGCGTGACGAGATGTTTAGATGTATAGGCTTTTCTCGCAGCACTTTACATAATTAAACTTATGGCATCCAGAAAGATCCAAACAACAATCATCAGTGTCAACTAGAGATTCAGCAGTTATAAAACCCAAAAGACTTCGTACTTCGGATTTAAGGTGGCTAAAGAAAGAGAAAGAAACCGTCTCATGCGAACACAAGGATTTAAACATCGGCGGGGCTTTTGAAAAGTGCGTGAACTCCGTGTTTTGAAGGGGTTCAAAACGGAAGAAGAGACGGCTTTTTTCTGCTGAACAAGTAAGACATTTCAATAGTTCAATCGTGTAACAGTACGTTTTCTTAATTCACACAGTTATGGAGTTTCCTTTGTTGTGCCTTTCTCGTTTTGCTATTATGGAGAATATGAATTCTGAACTACGCAGGTAGCTGCTAACCATAAAACACATTAAATTTAACATTAGTCACGCAATGCTGATGTTGTTAACATGAACAATTTGAGAACAAAGTAGGCTATAATTTGCACGGTTGCTGTAAATCATGTTGAGCTTTTCCCACCTTAGTTGGTCAGAACAAAAATGGATTTTACTTACTTGTTCAGAAGACATTTTCTTATGAAAATTCTTATGTTGGTCAAACTTTCAAAAAGTGAATCTGTGATTCTGTATGCCAGTATCCACACAGCGCGGTGACTGACAGCAGCACTCGCCTCAAAGCACTGTGTTCATCCGCGCTGTTTCATGCCGATTTACAACCCACGTAAAGATAATAATTCCGCGAATCACTGCAGTTACAGATTTCGAACAGAGAGATGGCGACAAAGAGGAAAAGTTCCGGACTGCAGCTTTAAGTAACCCATATGAATGATGTCCTGACACATGCTTTGAAGATTAAAACACCAGCATGGGACTAATGCAGCACAGGGATCATATTGTAAATCACATCATTCTGTCAATCAAAAGAGAATCTTTAGACTTTAATCAGAGTGTATTCTCATTCTGAACCATTAATCCAGTTTGATCACGTCTTAAGGCCAATTTATACTTCTGCGTCGGGTGCGCGCAGTACGTACGGCGTAGCATACGCACAGACGCGTACCATACGCCGTACCCTTCGCCGTAACCTGACGCGCACCTCCTCAAAAATGTAACTACACGTCGCGACGACGCGGACCGCAAGATCTGTGATTGGTCGGCTTGGTAGCATCGCATTTCCTCCTATGCATTTCCGGCGTGTTCTTCTGCACCGCCCGCCATTTTTAAATTCTAAGTACAGCGAAACTGTTAAAAAAACTAAAAATTTACCTTTTCCACCTCGATAAGCTCCAACTCCAACATGATCTGCTCTCTTTCAGTCGGCATTGCTTGTAGTAACCTAAACTCAAAACAGCCGCGAGGAATCTTCTTCTTCTTGCCGCGAGGAATCTAAACACAGTGGAACATTAAAACCCTCCGCCGCCAACTAGCGTTTCGGCGCTGTACTGCAGAGCAACGCAGACCTAAACGCAGAAGTATAAATGCTCATGACGGCGTTGCCTACGTGCGTAGCCTACGCCGTACACTACGGCGTACACTCGACGCAGAAGTATAAATTGGCCTTTACCCTGACAAATGACTTACAGTAGACTAATTACACGGATACTCCCCTATGGTTTCCCTTGTTCAAGTGTATCGTGGTAATATAGTGTTAAATCTAAATGTAAAATCTTATACCTTACATGGATTTAACAGTTTTAAATCGTTTGTTAGTATGTGGTCTTATCCTCAGCAGATTAGCTTTCCATCTCTGCTGTCATGACATTTCAAAAAAGCATCACCCAACATCGCTTCTTTTTTACACAATGTTTCATGCAGTTTGTATGAGATCCGTATCCCAATAAGTTTGGTCTAAATGTTATTATACCATCAAAAAAGGTAAACATTTTTCTGCAATTAACTGTATAAAAACAAAGAAAGACAGACTTTTTTTTTTTTTTTTCATTTAAACAGTTATTATTTTCCCCAAATTTAGTGTCCTGTTACAATTTTCTATAGCATTAAAGGAACAAATTCAATATAAATATAAATTAAATATATACACACGTTACCCAACCTTTTAAAAAATATTACTTTTTTTATTATTATTATTTTCATGTTTATTGTACAAAATTACACATTACTCTGGGTTTTAACAACACAAACAAAACAGTTCTGGTAACAATATATATATATACTAATATTATAGAAATGATTATAATGAATAGAAAATAAAACAGCACATTTTTTTCTGATCATGTACTGAAAAGAAGAAAATAAAAGAGTTTCAGACTCCTCATGGAAAATGTCACAGGAAATTAATACAGATATAGATTAAGACACACCTCTCACACAGAGTCTACAGAGTTATGATAACAGCTCCCACACTTCACTGAAATATTTGAAATTACAGGGAGGGTTTGTGTTCACTGAGCACGATCCAACTGTTTTTCTGTCAGGCACAAATTGCTGTTCTGTAAGGTGGCATGGTGCCGTACGTGAAGACTTAGTGAGAGATCAGCACAGCTTGAGGCAGTGGATGCAGCTCATGTCACATATGATCAAACACAATATAACGCAGTATACACTACTGACTGTGGATATCTCACTAGGGACGCCCTTCTTTCATCCTTCCATTAAAGAGATCACAACTGTGTGTTTGACATCCAGAGGAACTAAGAACTCTTTTGAAATACGTGAAGTGTTAGTATGGCATGCTAAAGGAGTGATTCTTGGACTGTTTGACCCTCGGCCAAATGCAGTATGCATTTGAAAAGTTGTGGACTGAAATTAAATGCTTTATGTAAAAAAAAAAAAACTAAAAAAAATCTTTGATATTTGTCCTTGAGAAAATAAATGATATTTCATTATGACACATTATGGAGGAACACAAAATAAAACTCGCCACTGATAATAAAAAAATACAAATGTCTGGTACATTTATCAGTTTGACAAAATAGATTTTGCCATCACAGGAATAAATTACATTTGAAAATATATTCAAATTAACAGTTATTTTAAACTCTAACAATATTTCACAAAATTACTGGGTTTTTTGGATCAAATAAATGCAGTCTTGGTGACCATTAGAGACTTTTTTTCAAAAACATTAAAAAATATTAATTTAATATTTCTACCGGCTTTTGACCGGTAGTGTAGATAATTGATCCACCATTAATAAACATCTAATTTGCTTTACAGAGCTGTTTATTTCTAATAAAACTCTAGTTAGCATAACTTATATATGCATAACTTGCAGCAAAAATGTCATATATGAATTTCAGGAATAAAAGATTACAAAATATGAAACAATAAAAAAAGATTTGGCAATTTCTTTAAAATAACTTTCTGTAATCCTTTGGATTAAACATCTTGTTTATAAAATTATTTTTCAAATCACATTTAACAATGTCAATGTAACACTGACAACCATAACAACAACAACAACTAATCAAACCACCTGCTCTCAAAAACACAATTCCAAACAGATTCCTCTAAAACTATAGACAATATATGGATTATAACAAAGAGTTTGTTCTCTCAATTGGAATATAATTTATCCAAACAATCAAAAATCTGTCATAATGTTTTTCAAACTCAGACTTCCTAAAAAAAAAACTTGAGAAGCAGCATGAAAATTTTGGGGTCCATCCGATGGATTATTCACTCTTTGAAGCATTGAGCTCCAATGCTTTTTTCTCATGAGTGAGCAACCAAACTTTAATGTCATCTCCCTTTCCTCCCATGTATGATCCACTGGCCCCTGAACTGCGCAGCACCCGGTGGCAAGGCACTATCAGTGGAATCTGAGAGAACAACAGAGAAAAAGATGCATCAGATGAGATAAATCAATCTGTCATGATGATCATTCCAACAAAACTCACAGGGTTTTTCTTCATGGCTGAGCCCACGGCTCGCACAGCATTTGGATTCCCAATCATTTCAGCAAGCTGCTTGTACGAGACCGTTTTCCCAAGCCCCACTTCCTTCAACAGAGTCCACAGCACATGCGCTTTAAAAGAATCTGCGAAATAGAGAGGGAGGAAAGCAGTGAAAAACAGTGGCAGCTAAGTCCTGGGCTGTGTTTCTCAAAAGCATCGTGAGCCAAGTTGATCATAGAGACCATTAGTGGCGATGGTTCTACGATCTACTTAGGATTAAGGTGTTTTTGAGAAACCCAGCCCTGGTTATTACTTTAAGGTCTGGTTTCACAGACAGAGCTTAGATTAAGCCAGGATTAGACCTTAGTTCAATTAGGACAATTAAGTAGCTTTTATAAACGTGCGTAGAAAAAAAAACATTTCTGGTGTGCATCTTGAAAAAAAACCATGGCAAGTTGCTTTCAGTTAAAACAGCTCAAACATGCATTTCAGTCTGGGACTAGGCTTAAGCTTTGTCTGTGAAACCGGGCATAAATAAGTCAGTGGTGATGTGTGTATGTGACTAACCACTCTGCATTTGTGGATGGTGTATGGGAGGCAGAGGAAGAGTGCTGAGGGACTCGGGTTTCATGAAGTAGCACTGAAGCCAGTCAACACAGCACTGTAACTCAGGGCTCATTTCTGACTGGCCAACAGGGCATACACTACAACAGGATACACTTTAGTTTAAAGTCAGCATGAAATAGAAGTTCAGTTCACAACGACGATCCAACGAAGTTGCAATAGACATTTCTCCACTATTGTGATGTATATCTGAATGAAAAGGCATCTCGAACAAGGAAAAATGTAGGGCGGGACTTGATTTTGACCATCGAGAAGATTTAATTGGGTCATTGGATCGTCGTTGTGGTTTGCTATTGCTTTGGTCTCACGTGATTGACAGGTTGTCCTGCCCTCAGGCCAGTAAACATGTCATTAGAGAAGAGATGTTGTTGGCAAAAAAAGTGAAAGTTATTTTGATTAAAGATTGTTAGGGCACGCAACTTTAAAGGGATAGTTCACCCAAAAATGAAAATTAAGTCATTAATTACTCACCCTCATGTTGTTCCAACCCCATAAGACCTTCGTTCATCTTCGGAACACAAAAGAAGATATTTTTGATTAAATTTGAGAGCTGGATCACTGCACACACGAGAGTTCAAGAGATTTCCACGACGCATGCTCGAGAACTGAGAAGAGGACGTTCTTCTTCTACTACTTGTTGTTCAGTTCTCGCGCATGCGTCGTGGAAATCTCTTGAACTCTCGTCTCAGGCCCACAAGGAAGAAAAGGAATAGTCGAATAAAGTCGTTATTTTTGTTTGTTTTTCCGCACAAAAAGTACTCTCGTCGCTTGATAAACTTATAGTTGAGCCACTGTAGTCACTTGGACTATTTAAACATTGACTTTCTGGGCCGTCAAGTTTCACTCCCTTAGGAAGCCTATGTAGCAGTGATCCAGCTCTCAAATTTAATCAAAAATATCTTCATTTGTGTTCCGAAGATGAACGAAGGTCTTACGGGGTTGTAACAACATGAGGGTGAGTAATTAATGACTTAATTTTCATTTTTGGGTGAACTATCCCTTTAATAATAATAAAATAATAATAATGAACAGAACCTGTGGCATGCAATTAATCACCACAGAATGTTGACCCATAAATAAATAAAAACTGCACAAAGGGAATTTAAGAAGTATTTATGGCAAGGCAAGGGTTTAAAAACAGAAAAGTACATCTTATAAATTGCTTAATTCGATTAAGTTTCGAATAGCTTCATTGCTCCCATAACTGCACTTTAATTGTGGTTTACATGTCGTAATTGGGTACTGCTGACTCAATTTGTGTGCATGTTTGTGAGTTACCTCTCATCCTTATCTGTTCCCAGTTTGATATTAATGGTGTGGACTCCCTTCTCACAGCCGCTCAGCAGGATTTCCCCCACTGGCGAGCAGAGAGTCACATCACGCAGCACACAATGACCGCTGCCAGTCATCGCAAACTGCACACAGCAAGCAATCTGTTGTCAAAACGCCGTCAAACACATGTATATATACTAGTAAAGTCATAACGTCTACAGCTATGACAACCACACACAGTCTATGGTCACGGACTCACACATCATAATCCCGCATGAGCACACAAAATATCAACTGTTACTTTTTTGTGCACAGGTAAAATGCCACAGTAAGTTAAATATCACCGATAGTTAATGCAAGACGACATTCTTTTATTGCAGTTGTGAGCAGTAAAATAATATATATTACCTACACGATTACAACGGACGACAGGTTTTTTTTAATTATATCTCTGGAACATGACCGAAAAATTTAACTTCCTGCTTAGAAAATGTACTAAACAAATCAGTAGAACTGACCAATCGCAGCACAGCATGTTTGTGCTCAGTTCTGTGATTGGACAATATTGCTCTCAGCCAGCCTCACTGATGCAGACCGCCGAAAGGGGGCCAGTAGCGGTCTAGCAATGGTCTAAGTCAATAAGAAAAAAGGCAATAATCTTGAATCATGCATCAACTCTTATTACTTCAAATAAAGAGGACTACAATAGACATTTTATACTACTCATTTTGCACATAATTTCATAAAGGACAAGACAAATGTGTGTAATGTGAACAATTGACACTGTGTGTTGTAAAGGGTTTTGAGCATCCACAACAGACAGTGGATAATTGTGGTCATGACACAGTTATCACACAATTGTGTTCTTTGGTGTTTACGAGTGTGCAGCCTCCTCTCTAATGCACAGGGAGGACACACTCAGATTTATGAGAGACAAACTCCATATTCAGCATTTGTTTTTATTTCTGATGCCTCCTCCTCATAGTAAAACTTGATGGTTGATGGAGGGCTTATCTGAGAATTCAGTGAAGTATCTTACAGAAAACAAGCAGAGCTGCCTCCCATAACACGAGCAATTCTCAACAAATATGATAATTTAATGAGACATGAAGAATAGATTTGTCGAGAGGGGCCATGTGGAAACTGGGCTTCAATGAATCTTCATTAGAAAATAACTATTGTCATGTTATCAGTTAGTCAAGTACGAATCTATTTCCAGTGTTTTGACCTTTTTCTTTCCCTTAAATAGTAGTACGTTTTTTGAAGACTAATGTTCTTATAAAATCTAGGTTTAAATGTAAGAAAATGTCTTATTGGTATATACAGAGTGATGGAAAAATATTTCCTCATACACTACCGTTCAAAGGTTTGTGCAACAAGGACAAAAAAATTACAAAATGTGACAGTAAAACACACCACTTGTTCCACAAAAATATTAAGCAGCACAATAATTTAACACAGATAAAAATAAATGTTTTGAGCACCAAATCAGCATTTTAGAATAATTACTGAAGGATTCATGTGACACTGAAGACTGGAGTAATGATGCTGAAAATCACAGGAATAAAACAATTGCTTTATCGCCAACCAACACGATTTAACATATAGTTTATTGTTTTTGTATTGCTTGCAATGAGAAAACATTCAACATTCAAAATAGATGTTGTTGTCCCCACACCACAAAGAGTCTGAGTTTTTCTGAGTCTGAGTTTGCTCAGGCACAAAGAGTCTGAGTTAACTCCTTCACTTCTGAGTTTGCCCATGTGAGAGAGCGACTGGTGTCACTAGTCCATGCAAGGCTGTAAAAGACAAACAGAGAACAGACATGAATCTGTCAAATGTTCACACTCCACAAATTTATATGTGTGTATGCACTTCACACTCCCTAAGGCAGTGTGTGTGTGTGTGTGTGTGTATATATATATATATATATATAGCTGATATATATATACACACTTTATGCAGTAAATAAAGGAACAATGTAGAGGTGGACGAGAAGAGCAGGAGAGAGGAGTTGTGTGTATGTGTGTTGTGCTCTCACTGTGCAAATGGGAAGACTTGAACTTGCTGTTGAAGACTGCATCTTCAGAACTGGAGCAAATGCACTTTTTTGCTTCACTATAGAACCACAAGAAAGAGAAAGAAGACAAGGAAGGATTAAATAAACATCTGAAACCACCAAAATATATATTTGTCTTCAGGAGTGTAAATAATTGCTTATGATCATTACATATGCAATTTGACCATGATTCAGTTTAATAATGTCATGAAAAGCAGAAGTAGAAAAGTAAGCAAAATTCAAAAAGCAAAATTTGTTAAGATACATTTTGAATGTTGGCTTTTTTGGGAAAAAAGTCTTGAGGTTTGACAGTTGATAGAAGAGTAAGACGTTTTCTTACCGATGTAGTGTTGTGTGTCCTCTGTGGGACTATCTAAGAATGCTTGTGTGGCAGCCATGGAGAAGTTCGGCACAGAGGAAGTTTGGCGTCCGTGTGTTTGTGTGTGCCCGGCCATGGATGGGTGTGCGTTTGAGTGTGAGTGCCTTGGCATGTTGGAGTGAAGGTGCGAATGTGCGTGTGCGCATGTGTTGATATTAGTGAAATCAGGCTGTTGGGATGTGCTGCCTAAAACAAAGCCAGTGTTTGAACTCCGACTGAATCCCACTGAAAGAGACATTCATTTATTAAAACACTGTTGTGTGGCATATGTACCATACTCACATGCACACATACTGCATACCTCGTTCTACATCCTGTGAAACCTCTGTGTTCGCAGTTAACTGTCCATTAAAAGAGTTTACACCCATTATCCTGTGTGAATTTGTGTGGGATGGGTTTCGTGGGCTCCCATGGAGTGCCTCTGCTATGTCGGACGCACGCTTCAGAATCATCTCCTATTGTCAGGCACATATAGAAGTACAGAAATGACAACACTTCCCACTCTGGATTTCAGCACTCGCATAGATTTTTGTATTTAAAAAGCCTTTATTTGCAGGGCTACAAAAGCAAATATTAAAAAATTATGTTTTTAATATGCACCCAAAGTATTTTTGACGCACTCTCTGACGATATTGTCTATTTGGGTAGCAAGCCTGAGTAAAAAAAATTTAAATGTTGATATGTTGATAAAAATGCTGTTCACCTGGTTGTTGTGAGGCATTCCATAAAATGTCTCTATGAGATCAGCTGCTCTCTTCAGTAAGACCTCCTGTCAATCAAAAATAAAATAAATACAGCTATTTGTGTATTTCCAAGAGTCAAATAAAACGGTGAGCACAGAATCATTTCTTCATTTGGAAATATCAGTTGGTGATTAGACATGCTTTTTTATGACTTAAATGGATAGTTCACCCAAAAATGAAAATTCTGATTCTGTCATCATTTACTCACCCTCAAGTTGTTCCAAACCTGTATACATTTCTTTGTTCTGCTGAAAAGGAAGATATTTGAATAAATCTTTGAAACAAATCTCGGACCTCATTGACAATCATAGTATTTTTTTAAACCTACTAGTCAATGGGGCCAATCAACTGTGTGGTTACCAACACTCTTCAAAATATCTTCCTTTTGTGTTCAGCAGAGAAAAAAAAACATATTTTTGAACAGGTTTGGAACAACTTGAGGGAAACTATCTCTTTCAATTTTAATTAAACACTTAAAGCAGAACCTAGAACAGTGAAAACAGAACACATAAATAAAATGTAAATTGAGAAATGGGAAGTCCACTTAGTATTTCTGGCTCACTTTTGGAAGTCTTTCCACATCACCAGGATGATGAGAAATGACCTTCTGCAGCCGCTGGAACCCGTAGTCAATGGTTGGCTCATTTAAAGCTTAAACAGAGGAACACATTTCTCAGTTAAACTCAAATGCATTTGCCAGCAACAAAACAAATGAGAATCTCTAAAAGTCCAAAAAGGCATTATGTAACATAATACGGTTTCACATATTCTTAAAAAATATTGTATAACTACGATTACAGTAAATTGCCAAGGTTTTTTTTTATTTTCTTTTTTTTTTATTCTTCTCGCAAACTCATAATTCTCACCAGTGTAAACAAAACGTCCTGGAGGTCCCCTGCAGAACCGTTTGGATCTGTAGGACAGTGTAACTTCCACAACACCAGGGATGTGACGAGGTGGAGTCTGCACACGAATCGCATGTGGTGTGATGACCTGTCACAAAACAGAAAAAGTCATCAGGAAGTATAGAAATTCTGATTAACTTCACCATCAAATTCATCGGGAAAAATGTATTTCACACCTTGCAAAATTTGCAAAGATTTGTGGGAAATCTTTGGTGGCGGATGGATGGATTAGATTTGACCAAGGCAGAAAAAAAAACCGAACAACTGGAATGATGAGGCTAAAGATGAAACACAAAAATGTATTTATAGTAATTCTTTGATTGGCAACAGAGCTTGAGACTGTTACACACCTCACTCCAGACCAGCATTGTTCCAAAAACCACCTGTAGACCATCGAAGAACTGATCTCCAATAATAATCACTGAGGCTCCACCTGAAGTCCAACCTTCACTCGGACTGATGGCCTTGATGCAGGGGATCTCTGCTACATTCACACACACACACACACACACACACACACACACACACACACACACACACACACACACACACACACACACACACACACACACACACACACACACACACACACACACACACACACACACACACACACACACACACACACACACACACACACACACACACACATAAAAACAGACTTTTTAATGTTTTTTTTAGAGTCAGCATAAATGCAATCCAATAATTGGCCTTAACTATTTGAAACAATAGGCCTATATTAAACAACAAACACTAAACAAACCAAATATTTGGTAGCATTGCTTCTACTATATATTTAACTATACATTGTCATATGAACAAACTGTCATGTAACTACACTGATTTGAATTGCATAGTTAGGGTTTGATTCAGAACCGATTCATTAGAGTAATTTGTCTCCAACTCGGACTACACATGTTGTTCTATAAATGTTTTTGATTCACTAACAGGAACAGACTCATCAGAGTCATTCATTATGTAATCAAAATACACTGGACACTGTGTATGTTTCTGAACTGGTTCATAAGAGTCATTCTTTCGGGGATCAGACTACACTTGTCACACCTTATGTGTCGCGCTGTCGATTCAATAATGGTGTAGAGGTGCCACTGAATAAGTTTTGCTATAATTAGAGTATTTTGGTACAATATAGTATGGAAGGCAAGTGCAGGAACTGTTAGCAAAACAAAACAAAAAACAGTTACTGGTTCTTAACTGTAATGATTAACTGTATTTCCCCTTTCACACACTCTCTCTCTCTCTCAATGATCCAGCACCAACACTGTTCTTTTGGTGTAATTTTGCTAAATGATACAAAAAGTTGCAGATATGTTTGTGATTACTGTACCTTCAATTAACTCAAATCGTCTTCTGCCATGCTTAGAATTGTTATGGACAAATATGTTATCAGAAATGGCTAGAATGTGGCCCTTAACGGAGGCTGTGGTAGAGACCAGCACCTGCAATGCACAGTACATTTTAGTGTAGTGCAGGAAATGTAGCACACAAAAGAACATTTTAATGTTGGACAAGGATGGTTAAATACATTTCCTACATTTTTTAATTAATTAAATTAATGCAAGCTACATTTATAATTTTTACCATTGTGGTTTTAATCTAAAGTGTGATCCAGGACTATAAGGGACAGTCTATTTTTTATTTTTTTTAAACAAACATGTTAATTAAATCTATTGGTTACACTTTACAATAATGTTTCATTTGTTAACAGCAACATGAGTTAATGTGAACTTACAATGAACAATACTTTTAATACCTTTAAGATTTAATAATTTTAATACCTTTAAGATTTAATAATTTTCATCTATAATGTTAATCTCAACAATTACTAATACATTTTTAAGATCAAAAGTATGTTAACATTAGTTAATGCACTGAACTAACATTTTTATTAGCTAACTACAGTAACAAAGGTTAATAAATGCAGTAAAAATATATTGCACATTGTTAGTTCATGTTAGTATTATTGTAAAGTGTTACCAATCTATTATCAGACACATAAAGGACATCAGTAATATGATTATTGAACTTTTTGTGTGTACCTGGAAACGACGTGTGTCTCGTGGGTTCCCTGCGTTCTTCAGGCAATTTTGATTACATTTGAGAAAAAATTTCAAGAAAAACCTAAATATAAAAGAAAAAGAAAAGGGCATTATTTGGATGGCAAGACTAACACCTTTCCTCTGCAAACATGTGAAGGTACAGTATGAGTGGATCAGGGAATGGAGAAAAAGAGAATGATGTAGAGTACAAACTGTCTGTCTGATTTTATCCGCAATGCTGATAAATCCTAGCTCGTTAAACAATCAACTTTTTCTCTCCCTCATTTTTCTCATACACATATTACAGTAAATACATTTCATTACTCAATTAAAATGTTATAGAATGTAACTGATTGTCCTACCTGTCAATAATCACGGGGTCTGAAGGCGTTTCATTCCTGTTTCCACAACTTTTCTTATCAGCACATCGGCTGTAATATTCACAGATAAAGACACACACAATTATCACTGCATCAACTTTTTAAAAAGTAACCTGCATATTGGAATTAAAGCAAACAAACACTAAATTTTAAAGAATATTTTATGAGTATACGTGTTTGTTTGCAGCATGCATGGGATTTTGTCTATTAGTGTGTAATAGTGCAGATTGACAAAAGTTACCTGCACATTGTCTCATGAGTGAGAAGAACACGACGCATTTCAGGGTTTTTATCTTGACCTTCAAACATAATTGCCTGACATAGTAGAGGTAATGTAAGCAAATGACAGGTTAATTTTATGCATAATAAAATATATAAAACGTATCATGATAATATCTATGAGTATTTCAAATATCATCTTAGCTCTGTGAACAAAGCACGTTTTTTTAAACACTTAATCTTGACTGAAGCGAACTTTCAATTCTAAGATGCATACCACATTCTTGCAAATAAGATGAAAGTGCCGAAATTGTTTTACCTGTTTGGTCACAGAGTCTATCAAACGGATGTACAGATCTTGCTCAGTTCTGACACCTAAATGACAGGAGAATTAATAGCACGATATCAGTACAAAAACGACATACAAATGACAGTTCAAAGTAAGTGTATTTCTATAGTAATAGTAGACTATTTGTAATGCAGGCATTACTCACCATTGTTGTACAGTAACTGGAGTTTGTAATGGATTCCATTGTTTGTTTTTTCACTTACTGGCTCCTAAATCAAACAGAAAAAAACAAATATATGCTTTGTCTTACATGGCATCATAACTTCTAATCTAATCAAACCCAATAAACCCAATGTTTCATCCACATTTTTCCTCAGGGACCCGTTGTAACATCCTACAAGGTAAAAAAAAAAAAGGATGACATCTAGTCGAGAAGACTAGTAATACTATTCACGTTAATCAGATATTGGTTGTATCTGAAATCGCCCCTATACCCTCATATCAATATCCCATTTATTTCTAGAACACAGTTCCAGTAGTGGGATTGAATGTAAGATTGAATAAGTGCACTCAATAACGTCCACAATGGTTTCAGACACCCAAATGGCTGTTCCCTCAAATAGTGCCCTAGTCTCTATGAAAAGTGTTTTGGATTTTGGTATGAATATATTAGCCTTACTGTTATCTATAAGCTAGTGTGCTCCAAAACAATGACAAAATTCGCATTTAGAAGACCAAACCCAACGTTGAAAATGAAAATCAAGTTGATGTCAGAATCCAACTTCAGATTGACGTTAATCTCCAACGTTGGACAGACTTTGTATTGTGTATCTGACTTTCTGACCCGACTTTCATTTCCAACCAACATCTCTCCGTCGGGTTCTGACGTCAACCCGATTTGCAACCAAAATGCAACCCCTGCAACCAAAATCTTCCCCTGACTGACGTTACTACTTTCTACTCAAGGACCTTGACAGAAATGTAGTGGAGAAAAAAGTACGATATTTGTCTTTCAAATGTAGTGAAGTTAAAGTAAAAAATTTCCAGAAAAAATAATACTCAAGTAAAGAACAGATACTCAAAAAGTGTACTTAAGTACAGTGCTCAAGTAAATGTACTTTGTTACTGTCCACCTCTGCTCCTCACCTTTTCCTTTTCAACAAAGTCCACAAATGCAGTGTGCACAGTCTCCACAGACTGACCTTGACTGTCATATAAAGCCAACACGAAGTGAAAGAAGTTTGACTTGCGCAGGTTGGCGGGCGGCTGTTTCTCGAAGTGCGCCCGGGCAAGATCAACACCTCTGTTGGAAAAAGAGCAACTAGTTATTTGCAGTTTAAAATTAAGTACTTGAGTGCTGCTGCCATTAAAGCAAATTATGTATAGCAAATTATGTATACTTTATATTAGGTGTCTTTAACTACTGTGTACTTACATCAAAAAAATTGTTAGGTACATAGTGCTTATTGTGTTGTTCATATTGTGTTGAAAAACACTTCTGCTGCTGGATACGGGTAAGGTTAGGGACAGGTTTAGTTTATGGGTAGGCTTAAGGGTGGGTTAAGTGGTAAAGCAAGGGTCAACAGTGTTATAGATGTCATTAATTAATTACTGCTATAAATGACTTGCAGATATTTTTAAATATAAATAATAATTTGATACAATGAACTTTTTTTAATATATTTTTAGTAATTCCTGCATGTAATTACATTTGTAAGTTAACCTACTCATACCAAGCTATCCCACCTCATTAGCAGCAAAAGAACATGAACACAATAAGTATATTATACCTAGCTTTTTTTTTTTTTTACTTAAGTACATAGTAGATAAAGACACCTAATATAAAGTGGGACCTATTTTTTGTAGAATGAAATAAATAAGTAGCTTAATTCAAATTTTTCCATATGCTTACGAATGCTGTACGCTAGATATCCATCATACACATAAAAAAAATGGCATTAAAGTTGACTGGATTAAGAAATGGACAGAAGATAATGGGATGCACTTGCTTACCTCTGAGCAGAAAGGTTACCCTCTGCCAGCCCGAGGAGAGCTGAGCCCAGAGCAGACCTGACCTCCTGCTTCATCACTCCCAGTCCACAGGCATGCAAGAGAACAGCTGACAACAAAGTTCCTTCTCCCTCAGGACTGCCGTCTGTAGACAACCCAAACCGCATGATAAGAATATGGGTTGGTTAGGTCATGTGTAAATAATAATGTGCTGTATGGGCGTGGCTATGACGCACAGAGACGTAAAACAGTCACGCTGTAAAGCACTTTGGAAGTTGGAAACCGTGCAGCGCGCGCTGCTGCATCCAATGATTACGTGAATAACGAGCTATTTCATTCTTCACCTGCTGCTGATGATCATGGATGATTTTTTAAAAATTATATGCCATTTAAAAATGTTGTATATGCCATTAAAAATCATCCATGTAGCCAGGCTATAGCCTACTATATCACTATATACAACTGTAATTTTTTGTTTGGATTAAACACTAAATATATAGGCTAATTAAACCATCCATAACTCAGATAGCCTAGCCTATATTCAAAATGTAATTTTCCAAGTATTATTACAAATAAATCTTCAGAATGATTAAATAATCCAAATACACTTTCGAACATCATGAGTTTAATAATAGTTTGATGCTGAAGAGTGACCAATTTTGAATGTGCGAAACAGCATAATTATTATTATTTTTTTAAAATATTATTTAAAAATATATGTTTTAAATGTTCACACTTAAGAAAGGTATTAATGAAACCTAATGCTATTCATAATGTCAAATCATCAAGTCCTCAATTTCATTATTACTCTTTTTTTGTCTCCCTCCAAAACAAAAAGGCCATCTTTGGTTAAATAAAAATAAATAAGTGAAAAGGAAAGCATTAAAAGAAAACAGCAAGAGATGAGAGGAAATAGAAACGGTTCTACATAATATTCCCAAAATAATTTAATCAAGGGTTGCAGTACTGTAGCTCTAAAAGGCCATTTCCAAGTCCATGCTGTCACACAATTACTTATTCTGTTGGCCATGTCATTTGATAATTAAAATAGTTGTGATGGTTTCTCATTAAGCAGTTTATTCTTTAGTTACGTTTAATTATATATTTCAGATTGCATTGTTATGCTGAATATGTAGTTATCCGTTTTTGGAGTACTTCAAGATACTTCATGAACAATTTACGGTTTGCTTATAATTGAAACCGATGTTGCCAATATTCATATAATTGTCAGTCACTGATTGGTTGTTTGAATAAATTACGTTAGTTTGGTACATTTTAGAGAAAGCTAGGTACTAGATCAAGCAAATCACAGCAAAAAACAAGATCATACCGCCACCTGCTGTCCCAGAAATTTCAGTACAAAATATTAGACGATTCTAGAGGAGTTTGGCAGCAAGTGAAACACTGTAAATGTTCTGTAATTTTTTTATTTTCGTGCTGTACCTGAAAATGTTTGCTTCTACCACCAATGAGTAAAACATAAAAGCTCACTGAATATCGATAATAAATGAAGTATTTTTATTTACCTGGTATGATGGATGCAAAATATTTGAAAGTATTTTTTAACACAAATTTGATGATTATAATTTTTGCAGTACAGTTTATTATTTTTCCATAGCATGTCACATTCGAATATATGTCAGAATATGCATTTATATGGCTCTGAATTTTCTCTCAAACATACATTTGCATTTAAAAAAAATAATGATTCGGAATGCTGTAAAAAAGCAGGTCAGCTGAAGGACTACAATGTGACCTGGAAAGTAAAACAATATTCATGCCGATGCATTTAACAAATATTTTTAATTTCAAGCAAAAATCTGAAATCTATTAGGCATATTTCCTGATATCCATACACAACTGGATTCATCTTTATTAATTCTGTGCCAAAATCCCCGCAGGAGAACCAAAGAAAAAACAATGCTGAGAGTTTTTGTCTCTCATCTTATTTTCACAGCGTCCTCTTACATAGTCCTGCATTTCTCCTGGAGGAAAACAAAAGTGTTCCAGCAAAAAGCTGTAGGGATCTTTCTAGAGACTATCCCAGAGTGACACTGACACACAACATACACACGCATTCATCTGCTATGACTCAGATAACAGAGCATTGAGTGGAGAGGCGCCGTCCAATACAGACCCTGCAGAGAGATTAAAAATAGTCAAACAGTGAACAAAAGAGCAGCAGGCAAAAAGTCAGACTTTGTAAGTTCATAAGTGTCTTACCCCAACCCAAGCATGAGGATGTGTGTCAAAACTAGAGAGGGTAACAGTAACTTCAGCAAGTTTGTGTTCATTTCTTTGTCGTTCTTGTCTGAGTTTCTGCTGCACAATCTGTTCCGCTTTGGCCGTTTAATAATCAGTGCTGGTGATGGTACATTCTCTGGACGGCTGGACCAGTCACAGATCCTTGCGACAGTCTCAACTTCCGGTTTGCTCTCTGGTACAACTTCCCCCTGGGGGTGAAAGAGCAGGTGAAAGATCTTTGGCAATTTCACTACCACTGATGTCTGGTCTAGTCATTTAAGCTCTGCTAGTCTGTAATGCAGTCAAAACATAGAATGTTTATAGTGGTGCTACAAGAATCAGCATACATATGTCGGTTAAATTAGATCTCCATATGCCCATATTGCAGCGAGGTCTGGTTGTGAGACCTCTAAAAAACCTGCATGTATATATCATATTGAAATCTTATTGAAAAATAGAGGTTGCTCCAAGAACAAATTCATGATTTTACATATATGCCAGGGGATGATAAGTAATTAATGCAAAATTTGTACCACTTAAACCTACTGTTCCTGACTATAAGGTTTGTGATTTTTTTTATATATCTTATTAAATGCAAGCTTATGCAATAAAGTCGTTTTTTTTTACCTGTGCATTGCCTTGTGTTGAAGGAGGCTGTGTGTTGAAGGAGGCTGCACTGATGAGTGGAGGTGTCTGGACATGTCGAGGACTAGGAGCAAATAAATAACAGCCACTGTGGTTAGAATAATCATACAAGTCCTTGTCTTGCTGTACACAGATCTCTTGAAGTGGTTTGTACACACCTGCTGCAGTGAGAGCTTGTCCGTGAACTACAGGTCTGTGATATCAGACAGGGATGGTGTGTCCTCACTGTGTTCACTACATGAATCAAAGTGGAGCTCCACCCATGAGTCTGGTGGAGAAAAGTACATCAAAGAATTTAGAAATGATTACTGAAAGCAGTTTCTTCTTTTTAGAAGTGCTGAATGTTTGCTTTGGTCTTTCTCATACATTTTACAAAAACCACTCATGCTTTACTACACTTGATCTAACAGAAACTGAACCAAAAAGGGTTCAAACTTCAAATATGTAACCATGAACATTTTTGGATGTTAGTAAATGAATACCAACATAATCAGTACAAAATTGGGTCATTGTAAATGCCTCTTGTCCGTTATCAAATATTTGTACTAACAAAAATAGAACAAATGTTTGTTTTAGCAAAATAGTTGCTGACTTGGCAGTATGACCGGATTTGTACACAAATCATTGTCTGCAATCTCTGCATTGTACAGATTTATAAAAGAAAAACATGATGAACATTGGTATTAAAACCAGGAATGTGAATAAATAATTTACTGTTACTACAATTTATTGTTACTATTAATAATCTTATTGTTTTCATTAGCTGTCGATGTAGGTACGTTGTTTAATAGAGCGAGACAAATTGTACAACTTACCGTGCAGACTTTCCTCCTGAGTTATAAGTTTTTGCGTTGACATGGCTGTTCCTTGTAATTTTGCTTTTAAATGTCTGTGTCCTAAATTTTGTTTGTTTGTTTGTGGACCAAAATATAAAGGTTGCTCGCCCTTAGAACCATATGGGAAAACACTGACGAAAGCGCTCTTGGAAAACACTGACGAAATCTTTTGTTTACAGACAGACACCGCTCTCTGATTGGTCAGACGTTAGACCAATCATCTCAACCTACGTGAGTCGAGCGATAGAACTTTTGGCGCGAACACGCTACACCAATGTGTTGAGTGTTATTAAAATACAAGAAAATAATGATTTCTGTTTACTGTTATAATAAAAGTTTTTTTTTTGGTAACTGATGTAGGCTACGGATGCACACAAGACTAGTCAAATTTACAGTAAAAAAAAATGAAAAGTAGTAATCAGTGAAAATGTTGTCTGTTGTAAGGTTGTAATACATAAGTTTACCAATTTGAGTCAGCACTTAATTCTGGAGTTGGAGTTAACTTGTACCTCTACTGAGTAGTCGTTAAACCAAACCAATTACACATCGATGTAATTAGTAGTACATTTGCACATATTTTGTAGTGCATATGTTTGTTTTTGTAAAGTCAATATCTAATGTAGGCTAGGTGCCTTGCCTAGAAGAGGTGCGTTTCGAGCATAGACTGTAAAAAAAGGAGCCTTGCAAACATACATTCACAATCACAGGCAGCAACTTTGACTTGCCTTTGTTGGACAGTAAATAAAATGTGGTACTATATGGTCAAATTACGAACTGACAGTTTTATTAAAGTCCTTATTATGCAGAACGTTGCAAAACGACAAATAATGTTAGTTATATTTCAGGACGAACTTACGTAAGCAGCATAGGTTTCCTTGATTATCCATACATGCATATATATATATATATATAAGAATAATCATTTAAAATGTATGCATCGAATAGGATACATCAGGCTTTCGCTCAATCATCTCTGTATTGCATTCTATTATAGGCACGGGCGTCAGTTTGGTTTGAAATGTGGTGGGGACAGAGACGCATTCGGAAGTGCATTTTCAAAAGTGCTGGGTACAAATTTTGCAGCCTGTTTAACCCGTAAATAAATGCATCGATCCGCGAATTTTTGTTTGAGTTCTTAAATGGTCTGGTGGTAGATCTTTTGCCAAGCGTGTCAGAGGTGACGGGTTCTAATCCGCCCTCGGTATAGTTTTTTTCTCTCTCAAAACTTAATAATGTTCATCAGTGGTTACAGTCTATATCAAGCAGCCAGGGACACGTTTGTGTGCATTTTATTTTGTAATTTCACCGGAATGAATATATACAGAGTCTCTCCGCAACGGCGATAGATTGAAGTGCGCGTCCGAGTGAAGACTGTGCGCGAGCCACAGAGAACACTGTATCCACGACACTGATAGCAGCGGACACGAGCCCTCAGCTTGAGTTAAAAAACAAAACATTTTAGCTAGATCTCTTATTTAAGAGCGAACTAAATGAATGCTCTGCTAGTTAACTGGAGATGTTTTATTTGTATTAGGTACATCCGACCGTGCCTCAATGTTTCCAAGAGTGGTGGGTACAAAATGACTCATGACGAAATCTGGTGGGGACGCGTACCCACCGTCCCCACCGAAATCGACGCCTATGCCTATATGCTTTTCCACTGCAATGAAAAGTTGAAAACTAGAGCTTTTATACAACTATTTAGAATTTAAACATATCCGCAATAAGACATATTATTAGGAAATATAGAGTGACAACTGATATTTACCTACATTTTATGTAAGTAGTCTGCTTTGCTGTTATAAAGATCTCATTAATTTACATTACAAACTATCATAATTTCATAATAGGTTTTAAAAGTGCGGCTTTTTTCCTCCCAGAGTGCGGAACTACGTATTTTCACTAGCCTATATGAGCTATAAAAGCCTTAAGTATAAAATACGATTCAAAATCAAACTTGATTTCAAAAACGAAAAAAGTCCCATAAATAGACAGTAAACATACGGACAGTAAAATACCTTTCCTCTCTGCCACAGGATGGCGCGACAACATCGCGACAACAGTTTTATCACGCGAGACTGTGGCGTCACATCCGGGAAAAGGTCGAAAAAACGATACCACGAAGAGATACAAACGTAGAAGGAACGGCCGTCTTTTGCGCGAAAATATCATCGTACATGGGACACCGAACACATTAATTAAACACTTTTTCATATAATTGTTATATTGGGAATATTTAAAGGTAAGACGCATGGTAAAGGATGATTCGAGGAACGTTATACTGTGTTTATAAATGTAAACATGTCTTCTGCCGAGCGTGCGGCCTTGCGTTCTATTTGTGACTCTCCACATCGCTTTTGTATTGTTTAACTGAATCAAAACAAGGCTGTGTGAGACATGTTGTGAATGAATGCTAATACTGTATTAAATATGTAAGCATTTATAATTAAAACGATCAAATTGATAAATATATTTGCATCCTTAAATGGGATATGTAAGTAGGAAAATGACTAAATATTTCTCAAATAAACATGCCAATATGTTGAAAATTTTCATTCTATTTGAGAAGTTAACATTGTTGTAAATCTAAGGGAGTAACGTTAGTTCAAAAATGGTTTTAGGTCGGATTCAGATAACAAATATTTGGGATTCCTGTTCTAGAGAACATACATTTGATGTTTATATATGTAAGGCAAGGGTGGGTGTGTTTTTCACTATTTTATTGAAAGGTGTGTCATTTAATTTTTCAGATGTCTGAAGAGTTGGTAAAGCAGTTGAGCAATTATAAAGCTCAGCTGCAGCAGGTGGAGGCGGCACTCTCTACAGATCCAGACAATGAAGATCTGCGTAAACTGCAGAAGGATCTCCAGGTTTGGGACACAATTATCTTCTGCTTTTTTTTTTTTAGTATGTGTTTTCATTGATGAGACCAGAGTCTTTCAGCGGTCTGCCATGTTTTTCAGGGGTCCAGTCACTTAGGTTGACGCTTGATAGCCTCTGACAAGAAAGTGCCTTTTATGCAAGTATGTTCATCAAAACATTGCTGTTATGTGTCACTATAGGAGGTGATTGAGTTGACTAAAGACCTGTTGACATCACAGCCTGTGGAGGGTACGACCAGTACAAAAAGCTCAGAGACAGTCGCTCCCACTCACAGCTGGAGGGTCGGAGACCATTGCATGGCCACCTGGAGCCAGGACGGACAGTGAGTATCACACACCAACACAGTGCTGGGAGGTATATAGGGATTGTGTTCGGCTACATTTGGAAGAGGGATTCATGTGTATATATCCGTACTCACCTGCTTACAGTGCTGTGTGATTGGCAGGTTGTATGAGGCGGAAATTGAAGAGATTGACAGCGAGAATGGCACGGCAGCCATCACCTTCGCTGGCTACGGCAACGCAGAGGTGTTGCCACTTCATGTGCTCAAAGAAGTGGAGGAGGGCAGGAGCAGGGAAGAGAAGGACGGAAAGCCCAAATCCAAGTAAGTAGACATGCACATACGTTTTAGATCTGTTTTAATATAGGGCCTGTTTACACCTGGTCACTTCATGTGTTTTTACTTTTCCGATTTGTTAATTTGTTCCTATCTAATTAGTTCAGAGGTGTAAAGTCCAGGGGTGAGAAAGTAAAAGTCCTGCCATATGTTTATTCCACCCATGAACTCTGATGATTTCATTTATTAGTTCTATCTCCTGGCTGAAAAACTGTGCTAATTAGCAAATCCAGCTGATTGGAACAAAATACTGAGGAGGACTTTTACTTTCTGAACCTGGACTTTGTACCTCTGGATTTGTTAACACGTTTTCCATTTACACTTGGCCTCGTAAATCTGTCTCCGCAAAACGAATATAAATCCGATCTTATATTCCCGCTCTATATACAAATTTAACGGAGATCACGTCAACAAAAGCAACATATATGAGCTGCATTTTATTTATCATCAGCTAATTTCAAGATCAGGCCGCAATAGGAGAAAGAGCGGCATCAGCACTGGTAAGATCATTTAGTCTCACTTTTAATGAAGATGATTGTGTGTTGAGCGTCTGCGATTTACTTTTATATATGGCTATAAAATGTCATATAGCCTATAACACGCTCTCACGTTTATTTTTTTTATCATTTTGGGAGGAATAACTTTACATAATGTGGTTTCAATAACCAGGTGCATTTACACTTGTCCAGTTTAGTTTGGAATGCGTCTCAAACCACCTCCTGAAGTGGTTTGAGTGATCGGATTTAAATCCGTCTCAAAAGCGTTTCGGAGGGCATTTACACCTGGTCTTTTCAGAGAAAGTGCATTAAGTGACCAGGTGTAAACAGGCCCATAGTGTCTGAACAGAGCAACATATCTTTATAAGGTATAATATGATTTAAAAGTTGTAAATGAGCACAGTTGTTAATACTACAATTTAAAATTTGTATATTTAAAATATAGTATTCCTATTAATTGAATTGTAAATATATGTAAATCTAAATAATTTTTACTCACACGTGTGTGTATATATACACATTTGCTTTGTGTGTGTATATATATATATATATATATATATGTGTGTGTATATTAAAAAGTGTATATGTATACTTTTTATATACAACTTTTCCATCAGTGGCACAGACATTATACACTACAACAGTTTAGAGTTTTTTTTTTAATTTTTACAAATCTTTTTGTGTTTTCTCTTAGGAAAGAGCTGCTGGCAGAACAGAGGGAATATAAGAAGAAAAAAGCCCAGAAGAAGGTGCTGCGCATGAAGGAGCTGGAGCAAGAGAGAGAAGTTCAGAAGTCCAAGTGGCAGCAGTTTAACAATAAAGCCTATTCAAAAAATAAGAAAGGACAGGTGTGTATATAAGAATAAAGCCTGATTAACTTTGCAATGTTCTCTTAAATGCTGTTGTTTTTTAAAAAAAAACCTGTTACATTGTTGTATGATCTTCCTCTGCAGGTGAAGAGGAGTATATTTGCATCTCCAGAGAGTGTGAATGGAAAGGTTGGCGTCGGCACGTGTGGTATCGCAGATAAACCCATGACCCAGTACAATGACACTTCAAAGTATAATGTCAGGCACCTAATGCCCCAGTGATCTCCCTTGTGTCTGTGACCATCTGTAATCATCCACCATAAAAAATGAAACGAACTGAAACCCACTTAGAAGTCATAAACAAATCGGATTGGACATGATATGAATATAGTAACACATTTCCCCCTTGTTTTATTTGCAGTAATAGTGGGTATTTAGTCTGTGGATGTTGGAGCTGTTCTGTACTGAACGAGTCTCTGGATGTTCAACAGTCCTCAGTGAAGGACAGCTCCTGGTTAGTTTTACTGGTTCTCCTCATGCTCTCAGGTCGAGTCTCTGCACGAGCTGCTGAGGATGGAAACTGCTCTATAGTTTTTATGATGTGTTGAACAAATGCATATGGAAAGCTCTGGCCGCCCTCATACACCTTTGACTGGTGTTGTTGAACAGATTAACAGATTGTTTTGCTGTCTTCACCTCTGTGTCTAATAAGCATTCTACTGCAGGCCATTTGTTGTTACATTTGCTTTTCAGTTTTGTATATTTACATATTTGAGAGGAATAAACATTGATTTCTTGACATTCTTAAAATAATTTGTGGTTTATTTTAATTAATTTGACTTTTTTTTTATTCAAGTTTTCCAAATGACAGGTTAGATCTGTGTTATAAAGACATTTACTATGAAGAATTTGCAGCACACTTTTATTTCACAGCGGTTACATTACATTTACACATGTGACCATGAGACACTGCAAATTACAAAAGCAGTATTTGACTATGGAAGACAAATACCTTGGTGAGCACAAGAATACATCACTATTAACAAATACAGCATAAGATTTTGGTTAATAACGGTGTATTTGATAGTATAGTGATAATAGCTTAATATAATCAACATATAGTGAGTACAACATAATCCGTATATAATCAGTCAATAAAACTAGAAGCAGAATAACAATGTTATCAACCACATCTCCATTTATAAAACCAGCAAATCAAAAAAGCTTCATATCACACTGAATGGCCAGCTTCCCATTTCTTTAATATTCCTAATGTGCAGGAATCCAGATGCAGTCTTTCATACAATTCACTGTCACCTGGATATATCAGCACAAAACATCAATTCATCTACAAACAAAATGCAGAGCCATCAAAATGTTTCTGATACTTCTCAAATTCAGCGTTTAGAGTTGCGGATCAGAACTAGAATTTCTATTTTGTGTATACGTGTGCTCTTATGTACAGTTTATAAAAGTGTAGGTGGATATTCTTAGGCTATTTAGACTTTTTGCTCTAGTTTTTAATATGGCTTATGGCTGTAAGAAAAGTATTCTGAAATATTCTGTTTAATAACAATACATAAAAGTCATTGCTTTAACGCTAATATCCATATCCATATCCCTGCTAGTCATCACATTTATCATTGGACCCTTCTGAAACTACATTACCCACTAGCCCCTGTACAGCATGTGTCTAACAGACTTGTTCACTCAGTCCTTTTTGCATTCCTTTTCTTCCTCTATCTCCTTTTCTTGCTCCTTTTCTTTCTCCTTCTCTTTGTCTTTTCCTTTCTCCTTTTCTCTTCTTTCTTTCTTTTTCGTCATTCGCAGGAAAGAAGGAGTACGAAATTTCTTTTTCTTCTTTTTAGGTGACTTTGGCTGACTATCAGAAGAGCTGGTGACTGAAATGTTGTTGGCGACAGTGGTAGTTATGGAGACCTCCATCTCTTTAGTGATGCTGAGCTCCGTGACCTGTAGAGTGAGGTCATCATCCTGCGTCAGGTCATCGCCGTCACTGCTCTGCAGTAGAGCTGAGAGACAGTCTGAGGATGAAAGGAAGAGACTTTTCAGCATGAGGTCATCCAGCTGGAAACCATAAAACAGCAACTAATTTGGTTATCAAATACCAGTGTGATAATATGCTCATACAATCCCAGCCAACAGTTTATACGAGACTACAAGAGATTATATGAGAAAATCTTGACCTCCTCTTTCAGGGCTCATGAGAGGTGAGATCGACAGGGACACTGTGGAGCCGTCATATGTGGTCATTTCTCCGTCCGTGAACTCCTCATCGGCCTCTGACTGAAGAGCTTATGTCAAGAAAACACATTTTAACAAACAAGGTTAAGCGAAGCCTTACGATCTTGCTAAATAGAGATGGCTAATGCTGAAAACAGTCATGCTGTTTAATACTTTAGTGAAATCCTTTTTCAGGATTCTTTAATGAATAAAAAGTTCAAAAGAACAGCATTTAAAAATAAATATTTTGTAATTATAAAAGCCTTTACTGTCACTTCTAATCCATTTAATGGTTCCATACTGAATAAAAGTATTCATTTCTTTCAAAACTCTAACTGCCCCCAAGCCTTTGAATGGTAGTGTCATTCTGTGTCTTTGGGTGCTTCTCAATATCCCTCCTCGTTTCCTCTCCTCCATCCTATGACCCGGAAACCGATCGAGCTCAGCCATCTTGAAGGACATCTCAATTCTCTAATTGCGCCGCGAGAGGATCGAGGAGTAAGTAGGCTTCCAGAGGAGTCATGAGCGAGGATACACAGGTGGATCCTTTGCGGAAGAGTTTTACCGACTAAACGTGACGCAACACGCAAGTATCCATTCTCCTCCCCCTTTACGTCGGTCACAATAAGTTAAATTTATACTTTACCTTTGCAGTTTAAATAAACTACACATCTCACATATTTCAACAGGGTATCTTGCTTTATTATTATTTATTATGAATTTCTTGAAGGTCCCGTTCTTCGCGATTCCATTTTTCAAACTTTAATTAGTGTGTAATGTTGCTGTTAGAGCATAAATAATACCTGTAAAATTATAAAGCTCAAAGTTCAATGGCTAGCGAGATATTTTATTTAACAGAAGTCCCCTTTCAAAGCATACAGCGAACGGCCGGTTTGGACTACATCCCTCTACTTCCTTTTTTAATTACGTAACTAGAACAGTTTTTTGACTAATCTCCGCCCACAGGAATACACAAAAAAGGGGGCGTGGTCTTGTTGCGCTCCCACAGAGAAGAAGCACTTCAGCTGTGCATGCATCTCCAATTTATGGTAAGAGGCGTGACCTTTCCGGGCAACGTGCGATAAGCTGCTGTCGAATCACAACACAGGAACCGCTGGCACAATCAGAACTCGTTACGTATTTCTGAAGGAGGGACTTCATAGACCAAGGAAGTCATCAGGCCGTTTTTTGGACAGTGAAAACAGCGGTATACAGATAAGTCAATTGTGTGAAAAATACTGTGTTTTTTTACACGCGAAACATGAACACATGTTAAATTGCACACTGTAAACACAATCAAAGCTTCAAAAAAACATGAAGAACGGGACCTTTAAATAACCAAACTTTAACAACATAAGGGTAGATCCTTTGAGCACTGCTGATGACGCTGTGAAGTAACGCTCGAGTGATCAAGTATTCCAATGTATAAAAAAGCTTTCATTCGATTCCTCCGTCCTCCTTTTCTTTTCTTTGCAGCCTCCCCTCGCATCCTGCAGGGGTGGAGCTGAGACGCGAGGAAAGGAAACGAGGATGCACAAATAAGAATTGAGAAGCACCCTCTGTATGCATAGTGTGCTTGTACCTGATTGGCTGCTCTTATTCTCCACAGTTTGTGTGTATTCCTGTAGCTCTGCCTCTGATTGGTTGAAAGGGTTGGGTGGTAGAACAGCTGCCTGTTCCTCATCCTCATAAATGAATGCCTGAAAATAATAATGGCAAAGGGATTGACTGACACTTGTGTGTCTGTTATGTAATTTTTGTTTATGTTTTGCAAGGACACTGGTTTTGGACTTTATACTGGCATCTATCTATGAAATCATGTTTCTACCTCAGAGAAAAATGAAAAGAAAGAAAGAAAGAAAGAAATTGTTGGTATGTAAGGAAGGACAGAGGAAATAAAGAAAGGAAGGAAGATTGTTGAAGACCTGAAGGAAGTAATTAATGAAATAAATATTTTTGGTATAGAAGGAAGGAATGAAGGAAGGTATTAAAGGAAGGAGGAATTTGTTGCTATGCTGGAAGAACTAAAGAAAAAGGAAGGAGAAATGACTAAATAAATGAGTACTGGGAGGAAAGAAAGAAATAAGAAACATTTTTGGTATACTGTAAGGAAGGAAAGAAAAAAATGTTGGAATTAAAGGAAGGGATCAAAAATATTAAGAAAGAAAAAAATAAAGATTGTTGGTGTACTGGAAAGAAAAAAGGAAGAAAGGAAGGGAAAAATAAAGATTGTTGGTATGCTGGAAGGAAGAAAAAAACGAAGGAAGGAAGGAATGAAAGAAAAAAAAAGATTGTTAGTATGGAAGGAAGGAAGGGAAAAAATAAAGATTGTTGGTATGCTGGAAGGAAGGAATGAAAGAAAAAAAAGATTGGAAGGAAGGAAGGAAGGAAGGAAGGAAAGCATTCTGAACAGAAGAAGAAGAGCAAAAAAAGATTGTTGGTATAATGGAAGGAAGTAAAGTCACTTTGTGAGATAAAGTTGCAATTACATGTTTTACTCTGAGGAAACAAAATACACAAACAATATGAAATCACATGACAAGGCAGCTTTTTCTAGCCTGATGCTGTCATCTCATGAGTGTCATTTTAAACATATTTGTCAAAAGTACTATTACAGAAGAAAAAGTTATTTAGTGCCCTTTCAAAGGTTGTTTGTTTAGTATTTGTGTTAGTGTAGTTACGCACTGGTCCAGAAGGCTTGTCTATAACGATGTCTGCCAGCAGCTGAGACTTCGGTCCAGATGTCATCAGATCTACTCTATTCTGCTCTCGAATCTAAACCACCACAAACAAAGCAGTGCTTTAGTGTAGTGAACACAATCTGTGGACACAGTCTGTTCAGTCTGTATTTTCACTCACTCACTCACTCACTCACTCACTCACTCACTCACTCACTCACTCACTCACTCACTCACTCACTCACTCACTCACTCACTCACTCACTCACTCACTCACTCACTCACTCACTCACTTTATTTCTTTTTTCCAGTACTTCACTGGGGTTAGTATTAAGTGGGACAAACTGGTTGGGGTCCTCAATCCTAATTGGAGTGTCCTTGCAGCTGCCTGAATCTTCTGACTTCATCCACTAAAAAGATAAAGAAAATAATGATTTTAAGAAAACAGTGAATATTAAGCAGCACATACATAATATATATATATATTAATTTTTCTTTCAAAGTTTCTGATCTATGGAAGCTCATTTTCCCTTAGTGTAATAAAAGAAGAACAAATTAATTGCAAATTTGTCACTATTTCTTGTTATTTCTTACTTTAAAATTGATCTCACGATAGACCTTAGTCAGACCAGACACCATATTGAATTTGTGTGGATGAAAACAAGGCAGTGAGGGATAGATTACAGTCTTGGTATTTACTATATAAATGTATTAGATCACATGATTTTCAAAACTCACAACTTTCAAAGCTGTTGGCGTTTTTGTCTACTGAAAGGTTATTTGGGAAGATGTTTTGTCAGCTGAACAATTGGCAAAGTTGTTCAACTACAGTACAAATCCATTAAACACACTTTACTTCTATCACTCACGGCCTCATTTTCATTCTGGTCAAAAATTAAATATGGCACCACCCTGACTAAGACCTGTTTATTTTTTATTCTTTGGTGGAAACATGCTTCCATACTGATCCATGATTAACCACACTGAAATATGACTCATTATGTTGCTGAAGTGAATTTATGAATAGTAATAATGCATAACTGTATAAAACCCTCAATATTAGCATGTTGTGTTTGGGCATGTTTGTAAATTAGCATTCTATACAAATATACCGTAGTTTTGGACCGGGGGCTGCAGGTCCCGTTGATGGACTCCTCAGGTACATTGACCTTTAAGTAGCTGTTCGGAGAGTTTAGCCATCGTATCCTCTCTCTGTCCCGCTTCTGTGCCAGGATGTGCAATGGACTCTGTGGAAAGACATCCTTTTCCTCTAGTGCCACCCCTGTGACGGTTGCTGGGATCTCCACATCGTTATGATGTCGAGGTTTCTCTTTAACAATGGGATGGCGGTAAGTGTAACCGGTTCTATAACCCTGGAAATGCAGAAGGTGGCATGTTGGTAGGCACTATTGTTTTTTTTTACTGTCAAATGTTTCATAATACATCCTCCATGCCATCAAAAAGACAACATTTAAACATTGCAAACACATCTGGTATAGATTAGCTCACAGGCCACTCACTAAGTTATCTAACATCCTCATAAGCGACTCAAATTCTGCCTCTCCAACCCTCCATCTGATCTGTCCGTCTGGCATTTGTCCACTGGGATTTTTCATAGGAGCTGTTTTCAGACTTGCTCTTTCTAACACGCAAAGGTTATCAACGCCACCCGCACATAGCAGAGCGCTTACCTGAAGAGAAACAAAGGCAGAAAGACAGAGATGATGTTGAATGAAAGTCTAACCACTCCATTGGGCTGCATCCGAAATCGCATACTTCCATACTACACAGTAGGTGAAAAACAAAAGTAGTATGTCCGAATTCACAGTACTCATAAAAGAGTAGGCAAAAAGCAGATGAGGCCACTGTTGAGGATTTGTGATTGACGCTGGTAGGTCACATGATAATGACAGCATGGCAAAATGTAGTATGTCCGGATTACATTCATGCTACACACACATATACTATATATATATATATATATATATATATATATATATATATAGAGAACGTACTTATTTAGCGATTGTGAAGTAATAACTTATTCAAAATAAGTACCTACTCAAGCGAGTATGTGATTTCGGACGCAGCCTGTCTGTTGACATTAAGGTACTGATAGTTAGAATTGAGCTGGACCTTATCTGGGCCTTCAAAAAAAAAAAAAAAAAAAAAAGATTGGCAGTTTGATTTGTCAATCCATTCCATTTGCTGTGTACTTTGATCCAGTACATATATTCCTTTTCCATTTAGTATTCACCTCTTCAAACTTTATTTTCATATTTGTTTATTAATCCACATATATGCTCATTTCCTTTTGATTGTGTGTGTGTACCTGTATCTCACAGGCTTGGTGGGTGTGATACAGATAGTGAAAAGCTTCCTCTGTCGTCTCTCCAAATGCCAGAAAACCTTGATTCCTCAGGACCAAAACCTAAAAACAAGTAGAATTGCATCAGTTTTACGAATCCAACGTAACGCATCCCAGTTATGCACAAAATAATATTATAAATATGATACTATAAATATTATTTAACGGCTATAAATTTAACATTAGCATTGACTAAACAAAAATGAACAAATATTTAAAAAAAGCATCTTTTAATGTGCCAATGATTATAACCTTCTATTTTTCCCTGCTTAAGCTTTTCCATGCTGTACTATAGTGAATTACTAAGGGTTGTCATGCCAACGAATGGCAGAATTCACAGACAGTCACCTTGGCAGTGGGACCCAGAGCTTTCTGAAGTTCCATCCTCTCCTGCTCGTCAGCTAAATCACCATGGTAGCTAAAATAAGACACCTCTCCCAGCAGCAAAGCTGCATGGGAAATGGGTAAGATGCCACATTTCATAGAAGAGACCTACAGGACACACAGAAAGGACATGTAACAGGCAGAGTGAATATGTGTCTGTGCCAGTGGTTTTTAACCAAGGTGCCAGGGCCCACAAGGGGAGAAGGGTCTGTCTGCGTCCTGCAGTACTAGAAACCACGCCTCTACAGCAAGTTACACCTCCCGCGAAGAAACGGGCATGGATGTCATTAACTAAAACAATCTTTTGAAGTACATTTTTTTATGTTTTATGTATGAAATCTTATATTGCTTTAGAATCTTATGAAGTATGAAATAACAGCTAGTAAAACATAAATTATACTATCAAATGAATACAGACTCATGGTAATAATAGCTAAAACCAAACCTATACCTTACCCTAAAGCTACCTGTGGCAAGGGGGGCGTGGTTAAGCTAAGTCTGTAATGGGAGAGAGGATCGGGAGACAGGTGCGGCGTGAGTGGGTTAAGTGTGAATGACAAACACCTGTGTCTTATTTCAGTAATTGGCGTGGGGAGACGGATAAAAGTCACAAGGAAACGAGAGAATGGCTGAGAGAGACCGGAGGAGACTTGTGGGTGAACTGGACTGAGACGGGAGAGAAAGAGTGGAGATCGACGACAGCGAGTGACGTCGAATGACAGCTGATTGCAGCGAACTGAGTCTGTTTTGTTCAGCGCACGTTGCGCGACTTTTGTTTATGTGAAAAGAGTTTTGAGTTTGAATAAATACCCACAGTCTCCTCAAGCCAACCCTGTCCTCTTCCTTCCCTTGATCTGAACGTTTACATCTGCTACACTACCCTTTCCATAAAATAAAAATTTACTGTAGAGTTTCATAAAGCTAGAAGAAGAGCAGTAGTGACGACATCAACAATTTCAGAGGGAGGGGCTCTGATGACATCACGAATAGCTGTTTCATTGTAGGGGGCATAACTTGAGGTAGGGGGCGTAATTAGTGGTCATGGTTTGTAGTACTGTGGGACGCAGTCGGACACACTTGCACTAGGGTGCCTCAGCCGCAGGATGACTTTAATTAATATATTGCAATGCTTAAAGAACAACTCCGGCGCAAAATGAACCTTTGGTCTAATAACACATTGGTACCTAGTCAACCGTTCTCTGAGATTTGTTTTCATGATAATCGAATGTAAAGAGTTTTATCTCTAAAAACTGTTTAGCGTATAACGCTAGTATATAGGGCATAGAGTAATGAAAAATAAAAATCGCTAACGTTAGTTAATACCACTAACAAGGCTCAAAATAGCCCCACACTAACATGGTAGCATAATGAGTGTCCCTACATGCAAACCGAAGCATTGAGAACTTTGTAAGTGTACAGACAGTTTAATAAGAAGATATTTTGTAAAGACAGTCTACTTCACGTATACAGGCAGGAGCCATCTTTGGAAAACAGTCTCGACCAGTCGAACCACGAACGCCGTGCTAAGTGAGCTGAACTGTGAATCTGAAATGGTCAGTTGTTTCCGGAAGAAAGCACTGAGCGGTGAGCGCATAAGAGAAGCACTGAACGCAACAGAGAAAATAATAAAATAATAAATAAATAGAGAGAGAGAGAGAGAGAGAGAGAGAGAGAGAGAGAGAGAGAGAGAGAGAGAGAGAGAGAGAGAGAGAGAGAGAGCTACCGGTGGTCAATGCCGCAAAACAGCCTCGTACTTCGGGAAACTGGTGGTGTACCTGCGGACATTGTGAAGCTATGGACACCGAACAGGAGTGCCTGTGTTGCACGGAGCGGGACCTGTTGAGTCGCGGCAACCAAGAGGCGCATTGTTTTGTACAGTCTGAAGATTTCCCCGCTCTGATAAACAAGGCTGTAAGTTACTTGAAACTTTTTTCCATGTCCCGAAAATAAATTGGAGGCGGCGACCCGATACCGGAGGGACCATATGGACAGTTATCCACTGAGTAAGTACACTAGACAAGTTATGTTTTAAATCGGTGCAATTATTTCTGATATATAGAGCAAATATTGCGTGATTTTAGTTTGCATCGCCAGCTGTAAGTCTTGCTCATTGATCTGCATGGGAGGGCAAAAACCTCTTGCCCTCCCTCTCCCCAGCCAGTGCAGACTTAAACAGATATAATTCATGCATTCCCATGTAATTAGATTTCACAAACGTAATTCCGATCGACCAGCTCACTTGGCACGGCGTTCGTGGTTCGACTGGTCGAGACTGTTTTCCAAAGATGGCTCCTGCCTGTATATGCAAAGTGGACTGTCTTTATAAAACATCTTCTTTTTAAACTGTCTGTACACTTACAAAGTTCTAAATGCTTCGGTTTGCATATAGGGACCCTCATTATGCTACCGTGTTAGTGTGGGGCTATTTTGAGCCTTGTTAGTGGTATTAACTAGCGATTTTTATTTTTCATTACTTTATGCCCTATATACTAGCGTTATACGCTGAACAGTTTTTAGAGATAAAACTCTTTACATTCGATTATCATGAAAACAAATCTCAGAGAACGGTTGACTAGGTACCAATGTGTTATTAGACCAAAGGTTCATTTTGCGCCGGAGTTGTCCTTTAACAATGCTTTTATCGCTTGTTTCTGATCCTTTTTTGCCTGTGTTTTGATCCGGAGATTCTCTACTCTTCTCGAAGATGCATAATAGTGCCCCCTATCATATAACAGTGAAAACATGGAAAGACGGAAAATTCTATCAATGGCAGGGAAAGAGTTTACACACTTTTCGTTCCATTTACTTGAATTCAAACAAATGTGAATGTGGGAGACCTGAAAGGCAAATGTGTGTGTGTTTGCGTGTATACTCACTGCAGCTGTAGTTGGTGTGTATGTATGTATAACACATTTGGCATCTGGTCGGGCAGAATACACTGCAGAATGTGGTTTGAATCCCAAAACATCCACAGGTAGTGCAGTCGCTCCTTGATCAACCACCTCACCAATCAGATTCACCTTCACCTGTAAACAACACACGGTGCAAGAAACAGATGAATGTTATTCATCAGCTTCTTCCATATATTTTTTCCATATTTTATATACAATAGTGAATTTATATTCAATTGCTAATGGACATGGTTCCCAACCTTATAAATCATGTTCAAAATGTGTGGGGGTGTATGTACCAGACTAGCTGCTGTGGCCTCAGAGAATGACAGTCCTCTAGGAAGAATAAGAATATGATCTTGCTCTTTGTTGATGCGCAACTGAAGAAGAAAATGACAGAGAAATTGTAAAAGAGAGAGAGAGAGAGAGAGAGAGAGAGAGAGAGAGAGAGAGAGAGAGAGAGAGAGAGAGAGAGAGAGAGAAAGAGAGAGAGAGAACATTATAGTATATTCTAGTATCAAATGCATAAATGCTCAAGATAGTCCAAAGCCTTAAGATTAGACACAGAAAAAGACAAGAACTTCAGATGCATTGGAAATCACCAATTCCAATTTGATTGGCTGCTTTTGTGTAATTGGATTGAGGGATTAGTAGCAAGTAAGCTAGTTATCTTAAACTGCAAGCTCCACAGTTAAACAGCAAGTAAAAAACAGCACAGGTGGCCTCTTCCTTTTTAAGTGGGCGGCATTTGGCCAGAATAAGCTAAAATGAGGATCGGACTATGTTCAGACATCTGACTATCTAAACAGCAGTGTTGGGGAGTAGCTAAGTACAAGTAGCGATACTACTAACTTAAGTACATTTTTCATTAGCTTGACAGTAGCTCAGTTGCTTCTAAAACAGTGTAGCCTTTCCAGTAGCTAACTACTTTTTTTCAGCACGTAGCGCGACCAAAAGCTACGTTCTGTTTTGCGTTTTGATGAGCCTGCAATACATTCAAGCAGCGCAGCATCTAATTCTTATTAGATCCTAAACTAAAATTGTGCATTACCACCGTCTATTGTTTCTTTACAGTTCACTGAGAAGAGATCGTCTAATGATTATGTAAAAGACATACAGTAGTGGGTTGATATTTCACATGAATCGACTAATAAAGGTTACACTATAGTATGTAAATTTTGCAAACCAAAACTTAAAATGGCAAAGCATCTGTCACTCGAACGGAAAACTGTGGTCTAATTAAATAAGTTGCGGCGGGTTTCAGAGCGAAGCCCACTGTGTCCAATGCAAGCAGCTCATGATTCGCATCTCAGAGCTCCATCACTACATGTGCTGTGAGTTTAACCTACATTTTCGACTACACCTGTGTATCCAATTTATGTTGCATACATTTTGTTCTTGCATTGATGTTACATTTGTAGCAATTTTGCACTTTGACAGCCAGTTTGAGATATATATTTGTGTTTTGTGCGTGTCTTTGGATAGTGTACAAAATAAAACAATACTCTTTGAAATAATAATTGTATTGCATTACATTGTTTTAAACCCCAAATATTTTAAAACATTCTTCATTAACAATTATTTGTAATATAAAATGTCATTGTAAAAAAAATGTAAAGTATTTTTTAATGTAGATAGCTACTTTTTGATAGTAACTTGTAATGTAGCTAACTACTTTTTCAGAAGGGTAGCCTGACTGTAGGTGCCAGGTTTGGGTTGATGTCTTTTATTTTGAAATTTTTACTTTCAGTTTGTTACGTCACTTGGTTTAGGTGTATATTACCTGTTAGTTTGCGGGTGGTTAGCATGTAGGAAGGGGGTGAGTAGCTGGGACGCTCACTTTCTGTTGACCGTTTTCATTGAATTTAATTTTATTTTCATTTAATTGCTTTATGCTTACTTTACTGTCCTCATTCATCATGTTTCTGTCAGTTTCAATGTTGCAATAAACCACCGGATTAGCAGTGGAAACGCGTCAACTTTATTCCCTCTACTCAGCCTCTTAGCGGTTACTGGCTGCCGCTATACTGACTGTATCTTAACTAATGTAACTTATGAGTAGCTTGTAGCTTGTTAAGCCACAGTTTCAGAGTAGCTTTCGCAACACCGATAAACAGCAAAAAAAAAAAATGCTTTGTGAATCAGAATGAATTCACAAATTCTGGCAAATAAGATTGAAATTTTATATCATTCAGGGTGCAAATGAGTTTGACATCCTACACAAAGTGCACTAGTGACTACAGCTGTCTCAGTTCACTCATTTGCACTCACATGTTCACTATGAAATTAATGGTGATTGAGGCGGCACATATGCATGATTGTGTAAAGCACAGTAATCCATCTGATGCTTTGGTTGTTCGATGACTATAACATCACGGTGACATGTCATGATAGAATAGAGGGAGAATGAACAGTTTTTCGTCTATTTTTTCCACAATGGCAGCTATTCTCTTCTCTCTCTGCATTGTTCTGACACTTAAGCCATCACTATGACAACCAATGTTGTCCGAACAAAAGGATCCAATTTTATTGCATGCAAAATGACAGGGAGCACAGTCAGTCCTAGATCAGATTTGAAAAACAATTTGTGTGCTGAGGGTGGAAAAAAGTAGCCTGGTAATACCAAACTCTGCTACTGCGCTTTGCTTCATAGACAGAGTCTGGCATGTCATCATTGTAAAGTGTTTTCTTTATCGCGGGCGGGGGCAAAATCATTGGAGTGAACATGGCTGACTGAGTTTTGCTGCCTCCTTAACCTGATCCTCCATGAGTGCAACCAAGGGGGACACAATCACAACTATCGCCTTGCCGGGCTTTAGCCTGCCCAGTTTCTCGCTGACGATCATTAATATTTGATAAATTAAACTTTTCCCAAAACCTGTCGGGAGTAGGGCCACGACTTCACCTCCATTCAAAATGTTTAACAAACACTCTTCTTGTTCGGGCTTCAGTTTGGAAATGCCAGGAATATTCTCCACAACAGAGCGAATTGCATCCCGTGTCTCCATATCCGCGGTTGTTTTCGATTTCTCCAATCTTAAACTCGGCGCTTAGCGTCTACGTCAAGGCTCTCAGCCCGCCCTCTGTTCGTTGATTGGTCGGCTGTTTTCAGGCCGGAGGAAAACTGAGAGACATGTCGATGTCTCAGACTAAGTACAGAAGCGAAATGAAATTGAGCGGAAGTACGAAGTCTGACGAAGTCAGGCTAGGAAAAAAGTGTGTAATGAATGCGAGTACTCACAGTTATATATGTATTTGGGAAGTGGGTGTGTCCGTACAGGTCCAGAAGACGATACAAGCAGGCGAGTTTACAGCGGCCCTGTCTCTCAGCTTTAGAACAATTAAACCACTCCATCCCACACAGATCATTTACCGGACTGATTGACCCTGCACCTGGAAACACACAAACACAGCGACACAACAAAAATAAATATCTGGCGATATCTGGACGTGCTTTCAGAATTATATGCCTGCCTGTTTACCATGACAACAAATAATCTTCAATGGGAAAGTATAAAGTGTAAATAAAAGTGTTTATGTGTGTGCACTCACTGCTGGGACTGTACACTCCAGTGTTGCTGAGAGTGTTGCTGATGATGAGGTGTGCGATGTGACCAAGTAAACCACCAGAGTTACTGCCTTTAGAGCACTGCTCCTTTACCATACACTCCAACTCCTCCTTAAAGTCCTGCAACACACACACACACAGACAGAGACGTTAACTAAAATGTAATAAAAAAACATATTTGGACATTTAAGCCACACTTAAGAATGTCATTGCATTGGATAACAAAATATCAAACCAATTGGCAATTAGTAACACTTGTTTTTCAAGCACAACATTTTCTAAAATTATAGATATGCTGTCCGTTTAATACATATTGACTAAAATGACCAGTTGGTTAAATGTAATTGCGAGAAATTCAAGAAAGTTAGTTCTGTCACGACAACTCTCTGAGTGTTTAGCATGGTAATGGATATGACAATGTTGATATGTTTGGTCTTGGCGGAATAGATCTGCTATGCTGCTGCTGTTGGTTATTGTTGCTGCTGCAGAGTAAGTATGGGACTTGCTACGACTAATACATACACAACACGCTTGATGTGAGCAAGTAAGACATTCTGCTGCTGTACAAAATAGCATACATGAATTATCCATAGTAGATCTATACAGGTGGAGGGTTTCTGAAAGCACACTCTATGCAACTGCTACAGAAACTACTGTGACCAGTATTTGAAGGGGTTGAGCAGCAAGCTCATTGGCTACTGATACAGCAGGAACCAATCAGCTGTGCCCTATTGAGAATGATGTGATTACAAGCAGATTATAGGACCTATCAGTCTGCACCATCTAGAGTTTCATGACAGAACTTTGTATTTCTAAGATGTAGATCTAAGAAAAGGTTTAGCATACATTGCTTGCAGATCTTCTGAATATTTTATTCTAAACTACCAATCAAAAGTTTGGGCTCAAAAAGATTTTTTTAGCAATCAAAATCAACCTTGATAATAAGAAGAAATGTTTCTTGAGTACCAAATCAGCATATTATTAGAATGATTATTATTATATAGATTATTATATTTCTGAAGGATCATGTGACACTGAAGACTAGATTAATGGACTAAAATCACAGGAATAAATTACATTTTAAGATATATTGAGCTATTTTAAATTGCTATAATATTTCACAATATTACTGTTTTTTTACTGTATTTTTGATCAAATAAATGCAGCCTTGATGAGCATGAGAGACTTCTTAATATAAATCTTACCAAGCCTAAACTTTTGTATGGTATGTGTATCCAATCAAATTGATTTAAAGTGTGGCTTAAGTGTGGAAATACTTTCCTTAAATATAGGACATTTCTGATTTGTTCATAGCTTATTATGTCATGGTAATGAATAATCACTGACAACAAAACAGGCTTTAAGAGAAAGTTCAGTTAACAGAAGGTCCAGTCATAAGTGCCTTTACTGTGAAATAGTTCCGGGACGTTGACAATGACATGTCCTGCGGTGAGACATGCTATACTTCATTTAATACTATTTTAAACAGCATTTTATGCGTTTTATAATTAGGCTATCATGCATACAGCTTTTATGACCTCATATAAATTGAGAGAATGCATGGAATATTTGTACTTTTTAATTTAATAACAAATTATTTTGTCACACCACAGGACCATTTGTACTACTAAACATTCACTAGTAAGGCAAAAAGGTGATTAGCATTATTTAAAAAAATACATGCTTGTTACAGGACAAAAAGATATAGGCCTACACTTTATATAGGCTACCTTTAATCTTAAAATCATGATGTTGGTTTTAAAACAATCATGGACATACTTTAACATCAAGAATTTTCTGTGTATTTAGGGCATTATCATCATGCAGTTTTGTTGATTATACCACTCCAAATTACTTGGAAATTAAAACTAGATAAAGCTATAATCACATAAGAGATGAGCTTCATCTAAGACATCAGAAAGCGTGCCTAGACTAAAGTATACTGCAAAAACATGATACACAGAAATCACTTCAGGTTCTTTATTTAATTCACTCATTCCCAGCATTTCTGGTGATCTGTGCATGGTTACTAATGGCAACGGGTCTCCACTTGTTGGTTGTTATGCAATCAAACACAAGCGTGGGCTCCTTTTAAAATGCACAGGGAGGGAGAGAGAGAGAGCATGCGAATTCTCACTTTGGTGCGAGTGTGTGTGGGAGTGACGTCTTACTGGACTATGCAGAATCTGTGTGACTCTCTTTCTCTGCTCCATCATGTTGAAGTCCTGCCTCAGGTCAGGTGACATAGCGCTGCTCCTCAGAGCCTCTGGGGACTGGAGTTCTTCTGCGCTCTCGCTGTAGACCTTCTTCACATTTAGACTGGATGGGGGGCGGATGCGTAATCCGCCCTCTTCATCGCCCGCAATCATCTCACCACGCTCACCCTCGCTCATACATAAACACAACACACAACCTTCTGCTTCAGAGAGAGATAAAAAATAGAGGGGTAGGCTATTTTTTTTCTGATCCACTTGAAGCGGTGTTCACAATTGCTGCTTGAATACAAAAAGGCCAGGGCACTTTGGATTACAAATGAATTGTCTGTACACACACATACAAATAAACATGCATTCACACAACACCTGTGTGTCTGCTCTCCAGCTGACATCCTATACAAGTCATGCATATCTGCACGCACCCCACAGAGAACAATTCACACCTTTAGTGACCCTCCCCTCCACCCTGATAGCCTGAAATCACCCCGCACCCCCACACAAGTTTTTGCATCTGAATATTTTTTTTTTTTCATTTTATTTATTTCGCGTACAATACAATTGTACAATTGTTTTAAAGCTCCATTAATGTATATGACGTGTATGCATAAACAAACTAAAATAACTACCCTCCCATATATGTCAGGCAAAGTCTTTTTCGCAAAGAAAAGCAGCTCCTGAATCTCCCTCATCATTGACGCGCGTCTCGCGACCCCAGCCTGAATGCGTAAAAGCAATTAGCTGTCTCAAAACTTAGTGAGCTGCCTAGACAGCATTTTTCGGCGTCATAGGCGCCACATATTTTTTGGGGGCATCAGGGGGGCACGAATGTTTTATTTGCGCGCTCCGAGTCAGTTTGCCACAGAACTGCGCACGAATTTAATGCTCCGAAATGCTGTCTAGGTCGGCAGTTCACCAAGTTTTGAGTTCACTAACACTGTGTAGTTGCTGCTGCGTTATAGTATAACTAAATATGAAATTTAACTGACACTAATTTAACATTCATAAAGATAAGAATTATTTAAGATCGAACACTCATGTTGTAATTTAAGATAACCAAGCTGCTGCTGTGCAGACGCACTTTAGGCCTATCAAACATTTTGCGTCTGTCCAAATCCAAACAAGTCCATTAGTAGATATAAAGGAGTAGCTATGGTTATACTCACTTTTCTCGGTCTCAGCTTAAGTTTATTCCCAGAGCTGCAGCAGGAAACATAACTCTGCAAATCAGTTCAGCCAGGAAACCTAACAACAGCACATCAGATGCATCCACGTCTATTTCCCCCTCAAGTCTCAGTTTCTTCTCTGAAGAACTGTGTTGCGATCAGGGCCGTGAGCGCGCAGCGAAAGCGCGAGCGCGCGTGGATGTACGTGAGGAGTGTTTTGCGTGGGAACTTGGTGAAAGGATCACGTGACTAGTCCTGTCCGCCCACTAATGCTCGCGCCTTGGCAGGACCACCACAACCTCCTTGAGCCTTATCTTTCAAACACACAGAGAAGAGTTTATACAAACGTGAAGATACGAGCCAGATGTTAGACATCAAACACACATTAATACAACCTTGCTGACGCTGCATGGGATGTTTGGTAGCTTTATAGCATCATTCTGTTCTCTTAAACATCTATAAATAACGAACATGTATATGTAATATATTCCCCATAAAAAGCTTATTATTTTTATATTGCACATATAAACTGACCTTGGGCCTGTTTGCATCTGTTCGAGAGTGAGTAAAAATAATTCTAAAGCTTTTATTAAATGTTGACATTACCAACTTTTGAATGATCTACACAGGTTTTTAAATACACCTCATAAAAAAGCACTAGGATTTTATCCCCAAACACACATTGTTCTGAAACTAGTTGGTTTAGCTCCAAACTCACAGCAATTATGAGCACAAGAACTCCCAAAGATAAGGATAGAATAAGAAAACAAAGTGAAGTTGTAGTCGTCTCTTTTTCATGATATTTCTATTTCTTACACTTTCAGCCTCACACATGTACACACTTTATATCACAAAACACACCATATCTATGTCATAACTGCTTTTTAGCCTCCCAGATCTGACATCTCTCATGACTGGTTCTGTTCTTTTTCACCCACCATGCATTGTTCTTTCAGTAAATCATTTAGCCCTGCACACGCCAGGACTCTGTGGCCATCCTGCCCCCTTTTTGTGTTTGAATGTGGATAATTACACTAATTACTTCAATACCTGAGCAAACAAATGACAAACAATGATTAATTATTCTTCACATTATCTCACACATGAACACCTGCTTTTGTTTTTGGCCGCTATGAGAATTTTCTCCACATAGATGAAATTAGAATTTTTAATTTATATAAATTTACAAAACTGTTTATGTCGAGGGTCCCTGGAAAATATATAAAACATATAAATTCGTTTTTAATGCCATTTCTTTTTATTCTGGGGATCTCTGGAATAGATAAGTGTGTCTTGGTGATGGTCCTTGGGTCTCTAAAGGTTGAAAACCCCTGGTATGTGATTCCTAATTACTTAAACGGCACAAATAAGATTTTGCCATTAGATTAATAGGATGAATCTGCTTATACATGTCCCATAAAAAATGATAAAGGAATCATTCTTGGTGTGTGTGTGTGTGTGTATATATATATATATATATATATATATATATATATATATATATATATATGTATGTATTGTGTTGTTTTAGGGTCAGTGTAGAAGTTATGTTATGATACTTAAGTTACTTATGAGAATTGCATTAGTTTTCAGTTTTAGAAAACTTGCTTGAATTTGAGTTAATAGTGTTTGTATTTTGTTTGTAACAACCCCGTTAGGATGATGAAGTTGGAAAGAAAGACTTGGCTGACATTAGTCAGTCCCATACATACTGTTCCACCTCTGACCTTATGAAAATGGCAAATACAATTTAGGCATAACTATGTTGTCCATAACACTCATGACCCCTGTCCCGAACTCTTGTCATCAAAACAGTGTTTAACATTTGTAAGATCTGGAGGAGGGTGACTGCTTCTATATTTTTGAGTTTCCAGATGTCACAGAACTAAAGTGTACATTTAAAGGACAGAAAAGAGAGTAAAAAAGTATCATGTCTCAATAGGCACATCTGGACAGTTTCCCCATGAGGATCTTGCATAATCGCTGCTGTTTATTCTTGAGACATACACTCCCATTCACACAAACTGTTGACTCTCGTGTTCCCATTCAGCTCTGTTAAATTCCGATGATCTGTTCTGGAGATGCTTTTAATGTCATCATGACATCTCATGACTGTAATTAAGCTCTGTTCAAACTGAAAATAAAACTTTCTAATGTTTTTTTGCAGCAGTCAAATAATTCAAGTCTACAAATCTCTGCATTTTAGTCTGTGGTGTTTTATATTTAATGCTGTTTTCGGCAAAGGGATTGCTGGCATTTTAGAGGTTATTTGTATTGGTGATGTCATAATCAATGTAGTTTTTTGTGCTATTGCAGCTGTCATGGTTGACACACCTTAGAAAAGACCCTGTGAAATCAAAATGAGAGTTTTGTGGCTTATGGTCCAAAATGGTAGTGTAGTAACCAATCTGTATTGCTCTACTGAATATTATGTGTTCATGCTGCATACAATACAGTGAGCATCTGCAGCGTCTTTCCCTTTACAATTCGCTCTCACCTCCGCCTACTTAGCCTGACTCACAGTTCTTGCATGTATCAGAGACAAAAAAAGGGAGAGAAAAAATAGACCAAAAAAAAAAAATGTATTATGTTTGCAAGAGAGTAAGAAAAATGAATTATGCTTTGTCCTAGTCAAGTAATTCTCTTTTTCATTTAACATTCACATGTAGAATAAAAATGCTGACCTGAAATCAGCACCCACATGCTTGCTGAATTGTTTTTATTGGAACATAAAAAAGGGCCTTCTCTCAGCATGGACTCAAGCTGTTCTCTGGTGGATGTTTGTTGAACTACAGAGAAATAAGAGAATGTTGAAATCTTAGGGCTATTGGATAAACTTAGAGGCGTACCAAAAAATCTTTTCATCATTTACATGTTTCCAAACCTGCATGACTTTCTTCTGTGGAAGTCAGTCAGTCGTTTGGACACTATATATACACTTTATATAATTTTTATAAAACCTCTCCAGATTACCAATCTTTCCAGATCTACATTTCCTGGATAAACTATTCCAGGGTTTACTAGGAGTCTGTGGACCCCTAGGGGTCTGCAAAGGTACTGTAAAAGGGGTACAAATTCGATATCACAATACATTTTAGGCATCATGACATGAGCTATTTAACAACTTATAGGGTACAAAATTTGTATTTTAATAATTTATACATTTACCTTAGTTCTAAGTTCCTATACAAATTTCCAGACTAACAGTAGCTAATATACATTCTGAAAATGAATCAACAATGAAGAAGTGTAAAAAAAAAAAAAGTTTGAGTAGTGGTTTCTGGGTCTGTAAAGGCTGAAACACCATGTCAAAGATAATAAATGGTGGAAGTTTGGTAGGTTCACTGACCTTAAAAAATACCATGTTTTTACAAGACCAAAACGTTTTGCATGTATTTGAGACAATAGATTTAGAATTAGATGTGTAAACATTTAAAAATTATCACTTAGAGAGGTGTGAGAGTTCAGCTTGTTCAATTACCTCATGCCCCAGCAGCCACTGGCCTGCTTTTGAATCATCTGAACCCTGAAACCAACAAATGCAAGCAGGACACCACCCGGGGCATCAAATCAATCTTCCCGCTCTTGCTCTTTGTTTCCTGTTAAGTTACCTGAATAGTATTACAGCATACTGTCATGAAATGGAGGATGGACCCAAGCGCAGACAGTATGCGTTCACACAAGGTTTATTGACTGACAAAAACAGGGAAAACAAAACCAAAGAGGGGGCAAAACAGGACTGGAACAGGATCGACAAAAACTAGATAATGACTTGACGGTAAACAAAACGGCAAACGAGGAAGCAGAACTTCTCTGTAGACAATACACTTGACAGGATACTCACGAGGATGACAATGTTAGACAATCACTCAGACATGAATCACAAAGTTTCACAATGAACCGGCACAGGACAGCAAACACAAGGGGATAATAAAGGGAACACTAATTACAAAGACAGGTGAAGCTGACTAGACAAGGACAGATGAAACTGACAAGACAATAATGACGAGACGAGGATAACAAGGGGGCGGGGTAACGTAACGGAGACAACACAAGCACATGGCCCAAGCAATTGGCCATGCGCTTGTACACAAAACACGGGTCTGTCATGATCCAGCCTCAAGACTAGAGGAAATCAAGGACAAGAAGGCCGGATCATGACACATACAATATTTGTGACACCTCTGGCTTTATTGCTCACTCACACACGCACGCACGCACGCACACACACACACGTGTTGGGTTTCCATGTTTTATGGGGACTTTCAACAGGAATAATGATTTTTATACTGTACAAATTCTATCCCCTAATCCTAAATTTACCCATTACCGACAACTTTCTCCATTTTAAAGTTTTCAACAAACAAACAAACAAACAAACAAACAAACAAACAAACAAACAAACAAACAAACAAAAAGCACAATTTAGTATGATTTATAAGTTGTTTTCCTCGTGGGGACCAAAAACGTCCCCATAAGATCAATAAGCAGGTGAGTTTGATCAAGTGCGGTGCTAAACTCTGCAGGAAAATAGAAGTTGAGAACCCCTGCTCTACACATTGATTGCAAATGTTCTGATTCTATTATTGTTTGGTAACTTTACAATAAGGCTCCGATTCATTAGTTAACATAAACTGACAATGGACAATACTTCTAAAATATTTATTAATCTTAGTTAATATTAATTTCAACATTTCAACATCAACATATTATTAAATTCAAAAGTTGTATAATGGACATGAGCTAACATGAACTAAAAATGATCAATTGTTTTTTTAAACTAATTGATAACAAAGAAAGTAACAAATGTAGCTATTGCTAATGTTAGTTAATGCATTAACTAACTTTAACTGAGACCTTATTGTAAAGTGATACCTATTGTTCTTTATAATTCTTTTGCACTTGAATCAGTTTGAAACATTTGTTTACTTTACACATTTTTGTGTGCATGTATTGCTTTATTGTATTTAAATGTAATTCAGTGTTCTTTTTGTTTTAAGAAGGTCAAATTCCTAAAATAATAAAACCAGTTGGAGAACTGCAGCTGGTATAGGGGACAATTTCAGATACAGCTTTAGTGTCTTAGTGACTGTTCAAAGTCTTGTTTGTTGAATATTTCCATTT